TTGTTCAAGACCAAAACCCAAGATCATGCTTTTCTTTGCTCTTTCCTTCTCTGCTCCCATTTACTATATGAGCAAACCCCGTCAGTGCCTCCACAATGTACTGTTGTGTCCACTTCTTTCCAATGGCACTGCTGACTGCCCCTGTTAAGGCACCTTCATGTCTTGCTTGGACTACGCCAGTTACCTCCTGACTGATTTCCCTGCTTCCACCGTTGCTCCCCATGTCCGTGATCCACCTTCTACACTGTAGATGAAATGATTCCATTGAAGATGTCTATCAGGCCCCAATTCACCTAAAGCAGGAGTCAGGAAACCACAGCCTGCTGGGTAACTCTGACCTGCCATCTGTTTTGTGTGTGTGTGTGTGTGTGTGTGTGTGTGAGGAAGACTAGCCCTGAGCTAACATCCGTTGCCAATCCTCCTCTTTTTCGCTGAGGAAGATTGGCCCTGGGCTAACATCTGTGCCCATCTTCCTCTACTTTATATGGAATGCCACCACAGGATGGCTTGACAAGTGGTGCGTAGGTCCACGCCCAGGATCTGAACTTGCAAACCCCGGGCCGCCGAAGTGGAGCACACCAACTTACCCACTATCCCACGGGGCTGGCCTCTTGTCATCTGTTTTTATATTAATCATAAGCCAAGAATGGTGTTTACATCTTGAAAAAAAAAATCAAAAGAAGAATAATATGTCATGTCACATGAAAATTATATGAAATTCAACTTTTAGTTTTTATAAATAAAATTGTATTGGAATACAGCTCCACGCAGTTGTTTATGTATTGTCTGGCTGCCTTTGCACTACAATGGCAGAGTTGAGAGGTTGTGACAGAGACCACATGGCCTCAAAGCCTAAAATATTTACTATCTTTACAGAAAAAGTTTCCTAAGTTCTGACCTAATCACAAATATAGTTCAACACTTCGATCATTTAAAATTTGTGGATGGGAGTGTACGGTCAGCATTTGTTTTCCTGTGAGAATTAAGAAATTCTCCAAAGTGTTTGTCTCATTGGGAGAGACTCTTTGGGCTAAATATACCATAATTCTAAGTAAAAAAGAAAGCAGATTCTTTCATCTCATTTAAAATCTAAGAAATAAGATGCACTAATTATCAAAAGTTATTTAAAAGTTCAGTCAAAACCAGACTTACTATGGATTGGAGTGAACGACTTCTTAACCTTTCTTCTAAGCATGTTCTTAATTTAAAAATTAGCTCAACATTAGCAAATAAAATATGAAAGAGAGTTTGTATTTTAAAAAAGTTCTATCAGATTATGCCACTCTCTTATTTAAGATTCTCCAGTGATTTCCTGTTACCTTTAAAATGAAACCCAAGCTCCTTACCAAGGCCTCTGCTCTTCTGCAAACTCCTACCAGCCTTCCTTGTTTTACAGGCTTCAGCCAGACCGGCCTTTCTGTTGCTTTCTCCTATCTACCCCAGGACCTTTACATTTGCTCTTCCTTCAATCCAGAATGTTCCTGGTGGCCACAACACCTCATCGTTTGTGTGTAAGCTCATATTTACCTTTCCAGAGAGGTTTTCCTGGTCTGTTTTATCTAGAGTAGGCAGCCCTTCTCCCAAATCACTCTCTAGAACATCACTTTGTCTTGTTTGTATTTTTAAAAGTTCGTAGCAGGTATCATTATCCAAAATTATCTTATTCATATATTTTTTTACTTGTGTATCATCTAACTCTCCCCATTAAAAAATTACCTCTGTAAGGAAGGGCTCTTGTCTGTCTTGTTCATTTTTTGTATCTCCACCTACCACAGTGCTTGGAATTCGTGTGCAATAAATACATGTGCAATAAATGAATGAATAACCAGTTAAACTAAAGGGACTAGGAGCAGGGGTAGTTCTCAGAGAAGAGCATGTAGGTGGAACAGGCACCTCTAAATGTCTCTTGAACTTTTCTTCCTTTCCTCACTCAAGGCCAGAGTATTACGAAGTCTGGCGATTTTATAAAGAGTCAGCAAGCAGAAATTGAAGGGTAAAGGCGAGGACAAGAAGTTAGGGGGTGGGGGTTGCCCAGTGGCACAGCTTTGCCAAGATTTTGCTCTGTTCCTCAGCCCCAAACAGCATAGTTTTCCATTGTGACGTTCTGTAACTTTTTGTGCAATTTTCTTTCACAGATTTTTGGGTAATTTTCCAGATGGTCAGTCAGCTCATAAGTGCAGCCATGAGGAATGAGACTCAGAAGGGCTGGGAGGCCCTGAGACTATCAGAGAGAGGACGTGGTGTGCTGTTGGCACCAAACACTGGTTCCCAGCTCTCCTTTGTGCTGAAGAGTCCAGGAGTGTGACACACAGGATGTCCCTTTGTGGCTCTTTTTAAAGAGAGTGCTTAAAAGAAGCCCATTTTGCCTCCAAGTTAAAACTGGAATCTGTGGTCTGCAACTCAGAGCAGATGTTAAGACACAAATTCTCCCCAGGAGTTTGGGCTGTAGTCCGGGAAATGACTGTTTATCAGTTTCCCTTCCTTTGTGTTTCCCTGTGGTTATTGAAGTTTTTGGTTTGGGGGGAAAAAACAAAAATAAAAATAGAAACAAACATATTTATAAAAAAAGAGAGGGAGAGATAAAATTTTAACCTTTTGAAGAAGGGAAAGAGGGAAGCCGGGCGCAGAGCACATTTCCTTTATGGGCGACTTGAGGCTCTGGAGGGGTCGCAGCGCTCCTACAGAATTTTTACAGAACTGAGGAAGTGGGGGGCCAAGCTTTTGAAACCTCTGCATCCTGCCCCCTGCCCACAATCCAGGGCAGCGGCATGAAGGAGCTGTGCACAAGGTGGGGGCTTCCGCAGAGGCCTCCCACCTCCCTCCCACCCTGCCTGCAGTCCTGGGGCTGTGACTGCCGCTCCTTTGGCGACTCAGGGAAGAGGCAGCATGAGAAAAATGCTCAGTCATCTTGCAGATACTGGGCATCTCCAGGCAACGCATTCTTATTGACTTAACAGCAGAGCTGGCTGGCAAGTTCCGTGTCATGTTCTCCATGATCTGAGGACTTGTTGCTTGGGCTCCTTCATGTCTGACCCAGTTCTTAGTCCAGATCTGGCTTCTTAACTAATCCCTGTGCTGGCACACCCACATAGTAACCAGGCCTGTTCAGGCTTGTTCTATAGTTTCTAAGGATGGGGGTGGTGGGGAGAGCAGTAACCTGGTCTGCTCAGTCTGGGCACAAGGATTTAAGCAGTGACTACCTGTTGGAATCCATCTGGCCAAGGTGTCTTTCTACAATGACAGGTGTCTCTTATTACCATATCCAGAGGAGGGCTTTCTCTTGGAACTCTATAGAGACAAGGACAACACAAAGGTTAGTCCAGAATGACTGAGCTGACACTAGGCGATGAGAACTCTACAAGTGGATTTAAGCCAATGTATGGACACAGTAACCACAAAGAAGATGAAGTGTTGTTCAGTTGCTGATGCTGATGCCTCTTCACTAGGGGACTGTGACAACTATAGTCAGATGTGGCCGAGGAAATCATCTCTATCCTGATTCTATCTGCATCGTCTTTTGTTATCTTAGCCTGGTTTTATTTCTTAATCCTCTTCTGTATCTCAAGCTGTCTGCATACCACATTGTCTACATTGAAATGATTTACTTTCTGAAAACGGGATTTAATGTCAAGGGTGGAGAATTCTTGGTCTCGCCATCAGCAGTTGCTCCAAGTTCACAGTAAAGGAGCAAATCTTCCGTGGCTATCTGTTTGAGGAGGTTTCATCCCATCCAATATGTTTGGCTTTGCATGGACTCCTTAAGATACCAGGGACTGCCTTTAGATCACAGAGTCACCACGACATTAAAATAGGCCCCTACTGGCCTCTGGTTCATGGTTTTGGACCTGAACCTCTCCTGACAGCTCCACAGACTGTGTTCTGGCTTGCTCCTGATCCCTCCTGTTCCTGACCTGGCTTTTTTTTTTTTTTTTCATCTTTGGCCTCAGTTTACCTTTTGCACCTGACATTGGGTCCATGTTGCTGGCTCCACTCTGCCTATGGACACCTGGATAAAGACTCTCTTTCCAGCCTTGTTCCCAAAGCTCCTCCTTGGCCCAGATCCCTCTAGGCAGCTTCTGCCAGCCTTGTCCAGTTGAAGAGCAGGATCTAGACACATCTGAGTGTCTCTGCCAGCCTCCAGCTGTGCCCAAGCTTGGCTTCTTCTTGGCTGTGCCTTTTGCTGGGCCATGCCACGAGCATGGGGCCAGTTGCCAGGGATGTGTGCTGACTTGCACAAGTCTCCTTACTGCCGAAAGTCATTGGTTCCCCATTCTCTGGTCTTCTGCCACTAAGCATCTCCCATCTGTAGCCACTTGGGTTTGGGTGTTTAATCATTTCATGACCACATACACGGGTCACACATTTACCTCACCCTTCTGAGAGCACCCTTTCAGTAATTAATAGTCCTTAACATTTATTCAGTGATTTATGGTCAACAGAGTACCTTAGGTATATTCACACACATCATTTCATCCACATTTCTTTCTATTTTCTCTTGCAATCAAGACTTAGAGTCAACTTACCTACTAGGCTTATTAGGGCCAAGGGCCCATGAAAATATTTTAATTTCTATTTTTTTTAAAACAGAGCAAAAAAGAATATAAAAATAATTAATACATACAATGAACCCAATCTGGATTATGTTTGTCTTTATACCAATGCATTCATAAAATACAATTTTAAATATCATTATATGGTAGAAGTTGCTCATGGAGGCAAAAGTGGGGCTCACGAAAGTCATAATGTGGCCCTGAAAGGACGGGTGCTCTGCATTTGACACCAACATGGACTTCCTGTGTAAATTTGGATGTTTCTTGACATAACAGTTTTCTCTATCAGAAAAATGAGAAGAAAATTTTCTATACCCATTCATTTCCCAGGACTTTTATTAAGATAAAAGTGAAAGTGTCTAAACTTCTTAGAAGAAAGGCTTATTTTATGATAGGACTATCTCAGCTGCCAATAACAAGTATCTATCTCAAATTAGCCTAGACAAAAAGAAAATGTATTGGCTCTCATAACTGAAAACTCTAGGTTTCAGTTTCAGGCATAGCTGGATCAAGGAACCCAAAAACTTTGCCAGGAATCTGTTTCTCTATTTTCTATATCTCTTGGCATGGCTTCCTTCTATGTTGGACTTCTTTTCTAGCACACTTTCCCCACATGTTGAAAGTGTCTCAGAGACTCCAGGCTTTCAGGATCTTTAAGTTTGTGACCTTAAAAGAAGAGAGACTCCTCCTAATAACTCAACCAATTCCTCGGAAGACTCTAATTAGTCCTTGCCCAGGTGTCTTGGATTTCCCTGTGTCCAGGGGATGGAGTGCTCTGTTTAGCCATCTTGATCGTTTGTTTCTCTGTGACTTGATTGACAGTCTCACAAGACTCCCTTGGAAGAGGGGGAGGGCAGTTTCCAGATGAGGAAACACAGACGAAATAACATGTCCACCCATGGGCTGATACAGTCTGAGAAGTTATTAATATTCTCTCACTTGCAGGGCGTTAGAACCAGTTGAGATTTGCTCAGAACCTCTACTTAGCTTTCCAGACCTGAGTCCTGTGGGAGCCCATCAGAGTTTAGTAGAGACCACATGAACTCATTTAATTTTCACAAAATCTGTGAGGCAAGTATTAGCTCCACTATTTTTTCCACTTAAAAATAATTAGTAATGGAGAAAGGAAAGTCTCTTCAACAAATGGTGTTAGGAACACTGGACAGCTACATGCAAAAAAATGAAAGTAGACCATTATCTCACACCATACACAAAAATTAACTCAAAATGGATTAAAGACTTGAATGTAAGACCTGAAACCATGAAACTTCTAGAAGAAAACATAGGAAGTACGCTCTTTGACATGGATTTAGCAACATATTTTCAAGTACCATGTCTGACTGGGCAAGGGAAACAATAGAAAAAATAAACAAATGGGACTATATCAAACTAAAAAGCTTCTGCACAACAAAGGAAACCATCAACAAAATGGAAAGACAACTTAACAATTGGGAGAAGATATGTGCAAACTATATATCTGATAAGGGGTTAATCTCCAAAATATATAAAGAACTCATACATCTCAACAACAACAAAACTAACAACCCAATTAAAAAATGGGCAAAAGACCTGAACAGACATTTCTCCAAAGAAGATATACAGATGGCCAACAAGCACATGAAAAGATGTTCAACATCATTAACTATCAGGGAAATGTAAATCAAAACTACAATGAGATGTTACTTCACAACCATCAGAATGGCTATAATTAACAAGATAGGAAACAACAAGTGTTGGAGAGGATGTGGAGAGAAGGGAACTCTCATACACTGCTGGTGGAAGTGCAAACTGGTGCAGCCACTATGGAAAACAGTATGGAGATTCCTCAAAAAATTAAAAATAGAACTACCATATGATCCAGCTATTCCACTGCCGGGTGTTTATCCAAAGAACGTGAAAACAGCAACGTGTAAAGATACATGCACCCCTGTGTTCATTGCAGCGTGATTCACAATAGCCAAGACTTGGAAGCAACCTAGGTGTCCATCAAGGGACAAAAGGATAAAGAAGATGTGGTATATACACAATGGAATACCACTCAGCCATAAGAAACGATGAAATCCAGCCGTTTGTGACAACATGGATGGACGTTGAGGGTATTATGCTAAGCGAAATAAGTCAGAGGGAGAAGGTCACATACTGTATGATCTCACTCATAAGTAGAAGATAAAAACAACAACAAACAAACACACAGAGACAGAGATTGGATTGGTGGTTCCCAGAGAGCAAGAGGGGAGGGAGGAGGGTGAAAGGGATGATTAGGCACATGTGTGTGGTGATGGATTGTAATTAGTATTTGGGTGGTGAACATGATGTAATCTATGCAGAAATAGAAGTATAATGATGTACAACTGAAATTTATACAATGTTATAAACCAATGTTACCACAATAAAAAAATAAATAAAGTATAGAAGAATGGATAAAATACCATAAGACCTTTAATAAATGTCAGCTGTTATTATCAGTGGAACTAGAAAAATTAATAAAATATAGAAGACTAAAAAAAATTAGTAAACTTCATTTTTTAAAGAAGTTTTAGGTTCACAGCAAAATTGATCGGAAAGTACAGAGAGTTCTCATATACCCCCTGCCACCTCTCCAATCTCCCCCACTATCATCACCCCACCCCACAGTGGTATATTTGTTACAATCGATGAAGCTACACTGACACACCACAATCACCCAAAGTCCATAGTTTACCTTAGGGTTCATTCTTGGTGTCATTCATTCTATGGGTTTTGACGAATATATAGTGACATATATCCACCATTAGAGTATCATACAGAATAGTTTCACTGCCCTAAAAATCCTTTATGCTCCGACTATTCATCCCTCCCTCTTCCCAACTCCTGACAACCACCAATCTTTTCACTGGTTCCATAATTTTTCCTTTTCCAGACCATCATGTAGTTGGAATCATACAGTAGGTAGCCTTTTCAGATTGGCTTCTTTCACTTAGTAACATGCATTGGAAAAAAAAAAAAAGTAATCTGGCTTTGTTTCCTCCATGTCTCTTTATGGCTTGATAGCTCATTTCTTTTTAGAGCTAAATAATATTCCATTCTCTGGATGGACCACAGTTTATTTATCTACTCGCCTACTGAGGGACGTCTTGGTTGCTTCCAAGTTTTGGCAATTATGAATAAAGCTGCTATAAAACATCCATGTGCAGATTTTTGTGTGAACGTATGTTTTCAACTCATTTAAAAAAATACCAATGAGCACAATTGCTGGATCGTATGGTCAGAGCATGTTTAGTTCTGTAAGAAACTGCAAACTGTCTTCCAAAGTGGCTGCACCATTTTGCATTCCCACGAAGAAGGAATGAGAGTTCCCGTTGCTCCACATCCTCCTCAGCATTTAGTGTTGTCAGTGTTTTGGATTTTGGCCATTCTAATAGGCATGTAGCAGACCTCGTTGTTGTTTTAATTTGTAACTCCCTAATGACATATGATGTTGAACATCTTTTCATATGCTTATTTGCCATTTGTATATCTTCTTTGGTGAGGTGTCTGTTAAGATCTTTTGCCCATTTTTTAATCGGGTTATTTTGTTATTGTTGAGTTTTGAGTTCTTTGTATAATTTGGAAAACAGTCCTTTATCGGATGTGTCTTTTGCAAATATTTTCTCCTAGTCTGTGACTTGTTTTCTCATCCTCTTACTAGCTCCACTTTTATAGACAACAAATATTACAAGTTATTGAGAACTTACCATACCCTGAGCTCTGTGGTAAACATCCTACATATATTATCTCATAAAAATTCTGTGAAGTGCTGTGTTTGCTGATGTTCTTTAGACTGCAAGCAGAAGAAACTAACTCTGGCTAGCTAAGTAAAGAAGGAATGTACTGAAAGCATAATAGCATATCTCATGGGATAGGAGAAAGAGTGGAACAATCCAAACTGGGAACGATAGGAATGCACTCATACCTGCTTTTGTAGGCTCCTTACAAGGTGGATTTGGGGATAAACCTGGTGCAGTCCTAGTGACTCCTAGGCCCTGTTCTCTCTTTGTTCCAAATACCACATTCCTTTGAGGGAACATCTGATTGCCCACCTTGGGTCAGTTATCTATCCCTGCACCAATCTGGTTGAAGGGCCATGTAGCAGAGGCATGGCCACTGGGGGCCCTCACTTTTGCATGAGGGCTATTGCCAGAGAAAAGGAAGCACTATGAACCAGTTAGCCACCCAAAGGGGTATCTACTGCAAGCACGTAGTTGTATCAGCCAGAGTTCTGGCACATCCAAAAGTGGGCGATTGAAGAGCATTTAATAAGGGGATTAAGTGGGAAGAGTTCAGGGAAAGTAAGAAGGGATGTTAGAGTATCTGGGGGCTAGTGACAGGGGGAGCTGCTACCATCCCAGGCCTGGAGAGGAAAGAGGAGGTAGTGGTTTCTGGAACCTGTGGAGAAAGCTGTGAGGAGAAGGCTGCCTGAAAAGTAGCTGTGGTCTTTGGGAGAGGGTCGCAATCAACCCTCAGCAGCCCAGCAGTGGGTGATCTAGGGAAATAAATACCAAATTTCACTCTCCTCCTACCTGCCCATTTCTTGGGCACAACCAGAAGCCAGAGAGTGATGGAGCCCTTTGGTATGGTTCTTATAGGCCCGGGGCACAGGCCAGGGTGTGCAGAGAAGGGTGGAGAGTGGATCTGGAGGGGCAAATAGAAGACAGCCAACACAGTAATATAAATCCCAGCTGATGGATGAAGACTCAGGTTCGGAGAAGTTAGTGACGGGTTCAGATTCATACAGTTAATTCAAGATCAGAGTTGGAGTCTGAACTCGGTCAGTCTGACTCCAGAACTCGTGCTTCTAACCACTGTGCTCTGTTGCCTCTTGGATGGATACCCAGAATTCAAACACTGGATTGACCACACACAGCTCAGGTGAATCCTTTATCCCTCTGGTACCCTTGCAATATCACCTCTTAGCTGCAGCAGCAACAAAGCCCACAGTCTAGCCCCCTTAGAGTGGTGCTGATGGACTCACACTTGCTGGTTTCCCTCTGGTCCCTCATCCTAGGCTTCGCAGAGCCATGTGGTTTGGAATATCAGAGGCAGTCAAAGTGGAGTCCAAGCTTCTTGCCATCGCTCAGGCAGCTCTGCTCTCCTGTGGGTGGGGTTGTGATGGAGATTTAAACTGCCCTCCAATTAGGTCTCTCCTCTCTAAGTCCTCAGGGGAGTGTTCTCAGGCTTGGATCACACATTTGTGAGGGCTAATAGCATTATCAGACGCCTGTTCATCTCATATAAATAGGCCCATTAACGTCTCAGCTAGCCGGCCATGTACTTTCCTGCCACTGCTTGGACTCCCCAGACAAGCTCATTTCCAATCAGGCATGCAGAGAGAAATAGCATAATAGCAATAACATTCACTGTATGGTTTTGTTTCTTATCCCATTATTTTCCAGCTCTTTAACTAATAATAGGTAACATCTATTATACACTTACTGTGTGCTAGGCACCGAACTGTTTTTACATGGATTGTCTCATTTCATCTTGACAATAAACCTAGGAGGTAGGTACTACGCAATCCCCATTTTACAGATGAGGAAACTGAAGCTTATAGGGGTTAAGTATGGTGCCTTAGGTGACATCATTATTAAGTAGTAGATTTAGAGGTTTGAACGTAGACAGCCTGGCTCCAGAGCCCACACCACTTAACCATGATGCCTCCTCCTGTTCTAGATGGCCTGTATTCATAAAATAGTGGACCCTAATCAACCTTATTCCCCTTCAAGGTGAAATTCTGTTATGTTTAGGAAATAGTGGTATGGTGGAGACCACTAGTGATCACCAAATATCCATGTGTTCCTGTAAATTAGTTTCCATCTACGTTGCAGTTGAGTTGGGGCCACTATGACCGGCCCATCAGATGTAGGCAGAAGTGATATGCACCATTTTTGAGCTCGCCAATAACCCCCCTGCACTATCAGCCACTCTCTGTTGCTCTTGTCCATGATTCCAAAAGTGAAGAACTCTGAGATGGCTAACCTGTCCTATGTAAGGAGCCTGTTACTGCTTGGAGAAAGTCATGCAGGTGAGTTACCTGACCTGCACTGGATGTTGACATGAGTGAGAAATAAACCTTTGTTGGGTTAGACCAGTCAGATTTTCGAGTTTATTTATTACCACAATATAGCTTATTGTACTCTGACTAACATAAATATTATACTATTGTACTAATATATATTGCACTAATAGAAATATTGGTACCTCGAAGTAGGGCACTGCTCTAACAGCTTAATGATCTACTGGCATTCTGAGAGAAAACTAATGTTGGAGACTGGAAATATCCCAATGCATGCTATGTAGTGCTGAAGCACTATCAACTGATCCAACTTGGGAGGCAGAACCCATGTTTACTTACATGACTTCTCTAGGAGGAGAGATTGAAAAACAGAATGTTAGCAGTGCATGTTGGCTACCATTGGTTGCATTTGTCAAGGTATTACCAGAAAAAGATAAGCTCAGAATAGAATTGACCAGATATTTGTAGAATGGATAACAAACAAACAAACGAACAAAACCCCATGCCCAACTATGTACTGTCTACAAGAGACCCATGTTAGATTCAAAGACAGATATAGGTTAAAAGTAAAAGCATGGAAAAAGATATACCATGCAAATAGTAACCAAAAGAAAGCTGGAATGACTATACTATTATCAGACAAAATCGTCTTTAAGACAAAAATTGTTACTAGAGACAAAGAAGGACATTTTTATTCTTCTATTATTAAAAAAGAATAAATCCATCAAGAATATATAAACATTATAAACATATATGAATCTAATAACAGAGCCCCAAAATACATGAAGCAAAACCCAACAGAACTGAAGAAATAGTTGTACAATAATAGTTGAAGATTTTAATACCCCACTTTCAATAACAGATAGAACAACTAGACAGAAGATGAGCAAAGAAATAGAGACTTGAACAACAATATAAACAAACTAGACCTAACAGACAGCAATAGAACTCTCCAGTCAACCACAGCAGAATATACATTCTTCTCAAGTGAACATGGAACATTCTCTAGGATGGAACGTATGTCAAGCCATAAAACAAATCTCAATAAATTTAAAAGGTTTGGAATAATGCATGTCCCCCAACTACAATAGAATGAAATTAGAAAGCAATAACAGAAGGAAATTCACAAACAATTAACATAAACAATTAAACATATTTCTTCCGAATAAACAATGGGTCAAACAAGAATTCCCAAGGGAAATTAGAAAATACTTTGAGATGAATGAAAATGAAAACATAAAGTATCAAAACTTATGGGATACAATTAAAGCAGTGCAAGGGAAATATATAACTGTAAACTCCTATATTAAAGAGAACAAAGATCTCAAATCAATAACCTAAACTTTCACCCTATGAACTAGAAAAGGAAAAGCAAACTAAACTCAAAGCAAGAAGAAGGAAGGACATAATAAATATCAGAGCAGAAATAAATGAAATATAAATAGAAAAACTATAGAGAAAATCAATAAACCCAAAAGTTGTTTCTTTGAAAAGATCAACAAAATTGACAAACTTTTACCTTGAATGACCAAAAAAAAAAAAAAGAGAGAGGTCTCAAATTACTAAAATCAGAAATGAAAGAGGGGACATTACTACTGACCCTACAAAAATAAAAAGGAGTATAAGGGAATACTGTGAACACTTCTATGCCAACAAATTAGATAACCTAATTGGAATAATACATGTTCCAGGAACATACATAATGTATGTTCTAGGAATAAATTCCCAGAAAGACATAAACTACTGAAACTGACTCAAGAAAAAGTAGAAAATTAGGACAAACTTGTAACAAGAGATTGATTAGTAATAAAAAACTTGCCAGAGAGAAAAGCAGAGGACAGATGGCTTCACTAGTGAATTCTATCAAACATTTAAAGAAAAGTTAACCCTAATACTTCACAAATACTTCCCCCAAAAATAAGAAGAGGGAACATTTTCTAAGTCATTACAATGTATTACTGTGATGTCAAGGGCAGAATAATATATCACAAGCAGAGAAAACTACAGACCAATATCGCGTTGAATATAGATGCAAAAATCCTCAACAAAATATCAGCAAACCAAATCCAGCTACGTGTAAAAAGTATTATATACCATGACCAAGTGGGATTTATCTCAGGAATGCAAGATTGGTTCAACATACAAAAATCAATAAACATAATATACCATTTTAATAGAATAAAGGACAAAAACTACATTATCATATCAATAAATGCAGAAAAAGCATTTGACAAATCCAACGCCCTTTCATGATAAAGACACTCAACAAACTAGGAATAGAAGGGAACTTTCTTCATCTGCATCTATGAAAACCCCACAGCTAACATCATACTTCATAATGAAAGACTGAAAGATTTCCCCCTAAGATCAGGAATAAAACAAGGACATCCACTCTTGCAAATTCTATTCAACATTGTACTGTAGGTTGTAGCCAGGGGACTTAAGAAAGAAAGAAATAAAAGGTATCCAGATTTGAACAGAAGAAGTAAAATGATCTCTGTTTGCAGATGACATATTCGTGAATACAGAAAATCCAAAGGAATTCGCAAAAAGACTCTTAGAGCTAATAACGAATTCAGCAAGATTGCAGGATATAAGAGCAATATACAAAAATCAGGTGTATTTCTATATACTAGTAACAAACAATCCAAAAACGAAGTTAAGAAAACAATTCCATTTATAGTAGCATCAAAAATAATAAAATATTTAGGGATAAATTTAGCAAAAGTGCAATACTTGTACCCTGAAAACTACAAAATATTGTCGAAAGAAATTACAGAAGACCTAAGCAAATGGAAAGACATCTCATATTCATGAATTTGAAGACTTAATATCATTAAGATGACAGTTCTCTCCAAATTGATCTACAGATTCAATGTAATTGCTATCAAAATCCCAGCTGGATTTTTTCAGAATTGACAAGCTGATCCTAAAATTCATGTGGAAATACAAGGGATTCAGAATAGTCAAAGCAATCTTGAGAAAGAAGAACAAACTTGGAGGATTCACATTTCCTGATTTCAAAACTTACTACGAAACTATGATGAGACCCGGTGTTACTGGCATATGGCTAGACATATAGATCAATGGAATAGTATTGAGAGTCCAGAAGTAAATTCACACATTTACAGTCAATTCATTTTTGACAAGAATGCCAAGACCATTCAATGAGGAACCAATAGTTTCTTCAACAAATGGTGTTGGGAAAACCACATGCAAAAGAATGAAGTTGGATCCCTACTTCACATCATATATAGAAAGTAACTCAAAATTTATAAAGACCTAAATTTAAGAGCTAAAATTGTAAAACTCTTAGAATAAAACACAGATGTAATCTTCATCATCTTGGATTAGGCAATGGTTTTCTATGTATAATACCAAAAGCACAAGCAACAAGAGAAAAAGTAGACTTCGTCAAAATTAAAGGACACTATATGGTGTTTCAAAGGACACTCTAAAAAAAGTGAAAAGACAATTCACAGAATAGGAGAAAATATTTGTAAATCATATATATCTGATAAAGGTCTATTGTCCAGAATATACAGAGAGCTATTATAACTCAACAGTAAAAAGAGAAATCACTTGATTTAAAAATGGGCAAAGGATCTGATAGACATTTCTCCAAGTAAGATGTACAAATGGCCAATAAGCACGTGAAAAGATGTTCAACATCATTAGTCATTAGGGAAATTCAAATTAAAACTGTGAGATACAACTTCCCACCCACTGAGCTGGCTATAATCAAATAGAGACAATGATGAGTGCTGCTGAGGATGTGGAGAAATTGGAACCGTCATATATTGCTGGTGAGGATGTCATATGGTATGGCTGCTTTGGAAACCAGTTTGCCAGTTCTTCAAAATGTTAAACATAGAGTTCCCATGTGACCCACCAATTCCACTCCTAGGTATCTATCCAAGAGAAACGAAAACACATGTCCACATAAAGCCTTGTACCCAAATGTTCATGGAAGAATTATTCATAATAGTCCCAAAGTGGAAACAATCTACATATCCATCAACAGATGAATAGAGAAACAAAATATGATATATCTACACAATTTAATACTATTCAGCCATAAAAAGAAATGAAGTAATGATTCATATTACAACATGAATGAACATTAGGCTAAGTGAAACAAACCACACACAAAAGACCATGCATTATATGATTCTATTTATCTGAAATGTCTGTAATAGGCATATCCATAGAGACAGAAAGTAGATTAATGGTTTCCAGGAGATAGAGGGAGCAGGAAATGGGTAGTGACTGCTAATGGTTACAAGGTTTCTTTTCAAGATGACGAAAATGCTCTGAAATTAGGTAGTGGTGACGACTGCACAATTTTGTGAATATACTAAAAACCACTGAATTGTACACTTCAAAAGAGTGAATATTATGGTATGCGAGTTATATCTCAATAAAAAAGATAGGTGGCTGTTTTGCCAGCACAAATTAAATGGAATAAACAAAGTCCAGAATGTTGAGGCCTGTAGAGTTAGAAAAGCTGACTGCTTCTAGTTCCCAAATAGTAAAAGATGGGAATTTAAAAGGCTTTGCATGACAAAGACCCAAGAAAATGTCTCAGTTGATTAAAGTGAATCATGGAAAATAACTTATTAAAGGTGTGTTCCTTTGTTCCAGCTAGTTTCAAGGAAATCATTATCACATTGAAAAAGAGAGCACAGGGGCAAGAAGGCAAAAAAATAAAGCAAATTTGAAAACTGCTTAACAAAGGAAAATTGAGTGTGGATTTGGCAAATGGAAACATCTGGATACAAACAGATCAGAAGCTTACCAAATTTTTGAGGAAACTGTGTTGTCAAAGAAACCACAAGCCTGTGTAAAAACATGAATCTGTTAGTTAAGCCTTAAAACAGCCTCTGGCAGGAAGTTGCACAACCCCTAAGGAGAGCAGTCTCTCCAACTCCCTCTTTAGATGTGGCCAAGGAGAATAAGGGACCAGGTGGAAGCCCCTCAAAGGGTGGTGCCAAGGATCACAAAGAACAGTGGATGAGGGAATTCCCACCCCAGGTTGGGCAGCCTTTATAATATCTGCCCATTGGTATTTCAGCACTGTAATACCAGGGTGTCTGTAGAACCATGACCACTGTGGGTCTCTCAGTCTTCCTCTTTCTGAATGGGAATGTTTATTGAAGTTATCCTATTCCTGTTCATCGTTGCATATTGTGTGTTGGCATGGATATGAGGCAGATAACTTGGCTTTTTAGTTCATAGGTCTTCTGTCTAAGAGGAGTTAGATCTCTTCCTGAAGGGAGAGGATTACGAAATGCAATGACAGGTTGGATTTTGGATCGTCTTCCACGAGGAGCCATTGAAGGTGTTCTACTTGTGGGAGGAAGGGAAGAAAGGGATATTTAATGATCAGAAGAGTGAACTGTGGCAGAGACTGTTCTTGCACACCAAATTGGCTTGCCAAGTGCTCCTCTAATTTCCCAGCCTAAGATGCTGACCAGTAACTTTCCTTTCTTGTAATGTCTTTCTGAGCTTTCAGTATTAAAGTTTTGCAAGTCTTATAAAATGAGTTTGGATGTTTCCCTTCTTCTTCTATTCTCTGGATGCATTTGTTTAGATCAGTACTATTTATCCCTTAAATTTTTGTGAAGCCATTGGGCCTGCTGTTTCCTTTGTGGGAAGATTTTCAATTTTAGATTCAATATCTTTCATAGATATAGGACTTTCAGTATTTTCTATTTCTTCTTGTGGCAATTTTGGTAAACTGCATTTTAAGAAACTTACTTATTTCACCAAAAATTTCCAATTTACTAGCATAAATAGTGGCACATAGAATGCCAATCTATTGTTTATAATATGTTTATAATATCCCCTCATTATCCTTTTAATGTCTGTAAAGTCTGTAATGATATCCCATTTTTCATACCTGA